GACCGTGGGAACAAGAAAAGACACTGAGGAGGTGACTTTGGAGAGGGGAATAAAAAAGGAGAGGAGTGATGACAGAGCTCTAGGAAATGCTAGCAGAGACAGGAAGGGAAAGAGAAGATTCATCAACAGTAACACTGAGAAAGTTGTCAGCTAGATGAAGAAAAAATTAGCCCATGTCACAGAAACCCAAGGATGGGAGGGTCTTGTGGAGAAGCAGGTGGCATATGGTGTCAAAGGTAACAGAGTTATCAAAGAAGAATGAGTCCAGAGAAATGACCCTACAAGAAATAGACACTTAATGTGAAAGTTGACAAGACAAATTAGGTACTTGGCAGTACACCCAAAGCAACTCCTTCAGCTATTATGGCCACCTACATTGGCAGAGTAATTAGAAGATCTTCCAGATACAGTGATTAATGGCATGATGAGAGTAGACAGATCTATGCCTATTTATAATGAGGCTGTCATCATAGTGTCTAGGCATTGCAGCAAAGAGTAAAAGTGGCAGTTGTTGTGCAGTAGCAGAAGATTCTCTACTGCACTGGTTAGCTGGGTCCTCTGTAAATATGGAATCTATGTATGTATACATATATAATCTTGGGTAAATGGAAACTTGCCAGCTTTGACAAAACTGGAGAAGACCTTCTAGAGATGATCCATGTATCATGCTCGAAAGTAACAAGAGATTAATTCATCCTAATCTTTACAAATCATATTTTGAAAATAAAGTCATAATATCCTTCACAGAACTTTATGGGTGCAGTGGGGGTCAGGGGGAGGGAGCTGCTTACAGAATAAAACCTTGACTAGCCTGCTCACTATAGAGTCTGTGCACAGCTTAACTAGGAATGTTGGGAAATCATGCTTAAGGCTTAGAAATAATGAGCTCCTAATGTGTTTTTCTAATCAAAGTATCAGCATGAAATTCACTGTATTTAGAGAATGTCCTATTATCGAGGCAGCAGTGTATCAAAAGTTCACCGTGGATATTATTTTTCTGTCTCATCTTTTTATTTGACTTGCCTTCCCCCTTACTTTTAATAGTTTTAAGTCAACAACACTAGAAACAAGAACAGCAATGCTTATCGCATTTGTTCCAGCTTCACTGGACCAACAGCCATCCCTGTCAGTCTCAGTTATCTTTCCATGCAACACTGTTTTGAGTAGAGGTATAATGCACAAAAAAATTTTCCCCCAAGATTTAGGTACCTCATAAATCAAACAGACAAGTCACATGACAATGTTTTTTTCCCCCTACTTTGTCTGTTGGATGCAGACAGACATGTACTGTGGGTTCTTCAATGGCTTATTTCCTAACAATAGCACAGCATTGTTTAACTCACATACTATATCAGACTCCTTCTGGACTATACCTAGGCAATATTCTTCTGTAAAAAAAATAAAAAAGGCATACGTTTCCAGCACTGCTTCTACATATTCATAGCTGCTGTGGACTTAGTGGTAATTTAAATGATTACATTTTTGTCCTTTCTTTTGCTTTACAGTAGTAGCAGTATTTATTGTTGATACATTGATTTCCTGTTACCTTTTGTTAAAACATTTTGCATATGTATAATTAGAGACATGCACAATTATGTTTTTTAGGAATATAGAAGAGAGAAGCAGATTAATTTTGTTTTATCTCTCCAGTTAAAGCAATCAAAGGAATCCAGGTTTTCTTCACTAAATTTTTGCCTGTTTTTGATTATCCAAGTTGTGTGTGCAGTCAATTTTCATGCAATCTACATATTTTATTCAAGAAATCACTCAGCAGCTAGCCAGACAAATTATTGCCTGATTACTTTTGTTAGTCCTCTCTCTTATAAGGCCTTACATTACACACAACTGTGAAGGAGGTAAGTCAAACAACATATTGGTAAAGTTAGCTTTGGTTCAGGAAGAATGTTGCACAAAACAAAAATCAAAGGTTAAATATGATCTTAAAAGCAAATTATACATGCTATATAATGCAGTCATGGCTATGCATTAGTGTAATGCATTAGTATGCAATAATTAGCATGTATATCATAGAGAAGAAGAGAATGCTTGTTTTAAAACCCACCAAATTAATGAGCCACATGTGTGGATTAGAAATTTAAACTGTTAAGTAAAAGGAAGAACATAGCATATGTTTCTAGATTCATAAGGAAGTCTTTGCAAGATATTTTCCACATCCTTGGCCTTTATATTTTTTTTAATTGCACCTTTTTTTTAACAGTGAAAATCTATATTGGGTATCATCTGGTCACCCTTTAGCAAGCTCTCTAGAATACTTCCAATGTAGCTACTATTGTATTGTTTAATTATAGAGTTCCATAAGAAGTCTTAACTATCTTTTATGTAATTTAGTCAGTTGTAGCGTGACTTCAATACACAGCTGTAAGTCAGATGCCTGTTTACTTATAAAATACAAGGGAAGAGGTATGGACCTAGGAATGGGACCCCCCAAAATTGCATTGGGAAGAGAACTGCTAAAGATAGCCACAAGGACATCCTGAGATATTAAATGCTTCCTTCCACTTGGGCTTCACAGCAGTGAAACATCACTAGGATTTAGAGACCTAAGCCACCTTCTATAGTTTCATAGTTTCATAGTTGGTAGGGTTGGAAGGGACCAGAGCAGATCATCAAGTCCGACCCCCTGCCACGGCAGGAAAAAGTACTGGAGTCAAACGACCCCGGCAAGGTGTTCATCTAACCTCCTCTTAAAGACCCCCAGGGTAGGACCCTGCACCACTTTGCTTGGAAATTGGTTCCAGATCCTAGCTGCCCTGACAGTGAAGTAGCGCCTCCTGATATCTAGTCTGAATCTACCGTCTGCCAGCTTGTGACCGTTATTTCTAGTCACTCCTAGTAGTGCTCGGGGGAACAGGGACTCCACCAGTGCCTGCTGGTCCCCCCTGACTAGTTTGTAAACAGTCACT